TCTTTCACACGCGATACTTGCTCGGTATCTTTCTCTGCGTCTGAGCGCGGCGGTAGTCGCGGTAAGGCTAACAGCTGATCGGCTCTGGGAGAATCACGTATCCTCGTGGATCCTCCCTCGTCGCTACCCCCCTCGTCCTGAGGTGGTCGGTAGTCGGGAATCGGCAGATTTCGGTACCATTGTCTCGGGACGCTTTTCGTCTCGAGACGTTGTTGACATCGGGAGTTCGCTTGGTTGTCTCTCTCGGCTCTCCCGTTTTTTCCTGCCGGGTTTCTCGTGACGGCTGCTTCGCTGAAAGTAAATACAGCTGATCCGACTAAACGCGATACTGTATTATGACTACAATAATTTCTCAGCAATAGAATATTCTCTATTGCTGAGCGTCCGATAATTTGCGATAATAATTCGGCATCACCGAAGTACGAGAGTGCGATTCACCTGAGCAGAGCTTCGCTCGTTGTCGTCCTCTGCATCCTCCCTCGATGTCCTCCGCTCCTCGTCCTGGTGACCGGCAAGGGGCGTCGAGGGGCACAAAATTCGGGACGCGCTGACCTTCGCATCTGCTCCGCTCGCAAAAATCGCTTCTTCGCTTGGTTCTAAATTTTGCACAACAAACAATCCGCCGGAACGCGATATTCGGCAAGGTCTCGAAAACCGTTAGCGACACGGCACGCGATAAACATTCTCTACACTAATCGGTACGGGGTTCTTGAGACGGGCGCCTCCACGGCTGCCACGTCACAATATATATATATTGTAACGCTGCACTCGCGACTCGCGCAGTCGGCATACGAATCGGGTGCAGCGACAAAATTAGGTTATTTCCTTCCTGGTCAGATCTCACAGTTCGGCGGATTTCGCGAGACCCGCCAGCTCACACGAACAAAATAAATCTCTAACTGGGCGCCAGGTACGGCGATCCGTACCCACTAAAAGAATCGTACACTAAACGCGAAAAGGTTGGTCTCGCCGAAGAGTAGCCCTCGTCGTCCGCCCGAACTGCTGACCCGAACGTCCGGCAGTTCAGCCCTCTTCGCGGCAGAGGGGCTGGTTCGCACGAAGTCGGAGGTGCAAGGAAAGAACGGAGACTAGGTTAATTAAATAAGCCGAAATATCTTGAGACAACGTTTATTGTTCGTTCCCATTACACTAGTATTAACCGGCAGCAAATATACGATGATAACAAATTTAGTCCTTGTTCGCAATCGCGACAGAGAAATTCGGCAGGGCGCGAGTTAGCGTCGTGACCGGCGGAGGTCACGACCGCCACGTACGCGTTCGGCGGTGTGTCCGCGTCGACGGTATAACCGGCGGATGTTCGGCGGTTTTGCTACGTCAGAATGAACCCGTGAGCTTGTCCCTCGAACGCGCGAGAGGGACGCGAGCCCTTGCCCTCGTCCAGGAGGACGGCCGGGTCTCCGCTCGTCGACGCTTCGCCCGCTCCGTGTCACGAAAACCACCAAAATATATATAGTCCTCGTTCCTTTTGGAACGGACTCACCAAATCTCGAGCGGAGCGGGGGCGGTCGGTAGCTGGTCCTCGGCGATCCCTCTGGACTCACACGAATTTGACCCTGGATCTCTCAGCGGCCTTACGGTCGAAGGTCGAGTCGTCGGTGCTTCGTCGTCTAGTCCTCGGCTCCACGGATGGCGCGTCCTTCACGCTCAATGCACCGTATAGTTGGCGAGATCGGTGACGAAAAGCTCTCAAACGGTCGTTGTCTTCCCGTTTTATTTGAGGTTTTTGAACTCGCTTCCGACAGCTCTCGAGTGCTCATTGGCGGGATCTTTCACCCGTTTTCCGATCTCAGATTTTGCACAACTGTTTTCGTTATGTCAGGCTTTGGAGCTTCCTTGTCCATCTGACCTTGGCTTTAGCTCTTTTGCGGCAGCCGTTGTTTGCGTCGATCCACGAGCTTCGCGGCGTCCTCGCTCGGATCGGAGGACGCTCCGGGTCGCGGAGGATATGCTCCCCGATTTCCTCCGGCGGCAGCTATCCTCCGCTCGTCCGCGGTGTCGATCCACTCCGTCCTCGCGGCTTCCTAGCGACAGCTCGTGATCGCTCCCCTTCGGCAGCTTCGCCTCGCCGTTCAGGATGTTGCTGAAACAGTTCTGTGTTAGGTTTTCCACCCTGTGGGTCCCTACTGAGTCGTATTATTAATGAAAGCGGTTCACCTGGAGTAGCGAGTCTTGCGGCCGTTCTTCTCGCAGGCTTTCCCTCTCCCACGGCGGCAGCAGTCCTCCTTGCTGGTGGCTTCTTCTTCCTGACTCAACCTCGATGACCGTATTTATACACAAAAATTATGATTCGAGGGCTGCGTAGGCTCGCGTCCTAAACGCCTTACGGCTAGGACGCGACATCCGCCTGCAGCCGAGAAGCTCATACTGCTTCCTTACTATAGACTACGAGTGACGGACGATATTTACTAATCGTCACGTCACATATCCCCCTCCCTGGGGAAGGACCGAAAGGTCCTCGGCGACCCGACATCGACCTCAATTTCCGCTCGTCCTCATTCTTAGGGTCTCACTAACTGAAGACTATTAGGCAGCACTCGCCCTTACCCCCCCCCCCTTCGGCGTTCGGGAAGCTCCTACTTTGCCCCCTTTAATATCCCTCCATTTTTCTCTAAGGGAAGGCACTCGCAATTTGTGTCTCCCTTGTCTATGTTGGAAAATCCAGAGGTGTAGGATAGGTTGCTGTTCGCGGCATGGGACCTTTAATAAGCATACTGATCTGGTGTTTTCTTGTGCCTTTATTGCCTTGTTCGACACTCTCTCCCTCACAAAAAAAAAACAGAAAACTAAAGAAATATGCTCTCTTTTCGTCCGCCTCCCTCAGAATACGCTCACACTAACACAACAAAAAATCCGGTCTTTCCGAGGGAGCGGCAGCACTAACTATACGAGAGAGAGTGCCGGCGTACTTCAGCGAAATATACATTGTTACACAAAAACCCCCCAAAAAATGACTCTAACCAAACCCACACAAAAACCGAATGTTCTCTTTTTCCTTCTTTTTTTTTCTCTTTAACGGCAGCCGACGTGTCCCTGTCCAGGACGATAGGGCCCCAAGTCCCTCCAGGCGACCTTACAGCGGGGGCACGTCTTCATTGTAACCCCGAATGCTCCGCACCCAAAGCAGAAGGATCCCTCCCTCGGGTGCGGGCACTCGGAGTATCTATGCCGACCCTCCCAGCAGTTCCAACACTTGTTGGCCTGCCGGGAGCCCGCTCGGCCGCCTGGAGTACCCGACCTGGATCTCCTGGTCTCGGCAGCCGTCCCCCTTCGGCCTCTTCTGGCGCGCCTCCCCGCCTTCGGAAGTTCCGTGCGGGCGTCGTCCCGCGTCGTCGACGTCCCCGCCGCGGCCTCTCCCCTTCGCGCGGCCTTCAACCGCTCCGCCAGGAGACTTTGTCCCGATGGGGCGGCCTCGGCAGCAGGCGGTGACGGCACCCCTTGGCCGGCCTCGGCTTCGGCAGCTCCGCGGCTATCGGTGTCGCGGGAACCTCCACTATCTCGATTATTTCCGGCTCCCTGACCGGATCCGTCTGCGTTTCCCGCGTCCTGGACCTTGGGCTACCCCTGGTCTGCGTGGCAGCCTCCCTGGTGGTCGGGAAGTCTCTCACCACGGCGCCCTCGGTGGTATACCTGGAGCGCTCGTAGAACTCCACTAGTTCCCCGAGCTCCGCCCAGAACGCGGGAAATCGGTCGTCAAGTTCGTCCCACAATTCCGCGTATTTCTGTGCGAATGCTTGCCAGTCTTCCATGCTGCTCTATTGGGAATTCAGGAAACGTAAGGTTTGATATCCTGGATATGGACCTTGCCTCCCGAACCCCCGTCCAACCGCTCGAACTCGCACACCACCGACGACAATTTTCGCGTGATCTTGAAGGGGCCCGAAAATTTTGGCGTCAGCTTCGCGGCGATATTCTGCGCGGCCGACGATAAGGTGTGCTGTCGCTTTAACACTAAATCTCCTACCTGGTACACACGATGACGTCTCCTCAGGTTGTAGGTGGCCGCCTGACGTTGGTGTGCCTGTTCCAGATTCTCGGCCACCCACTTATGTAAGACCTTGAGTTTTCTCATCCTTGTTGCCCATACTTCCGCATCCTGTGCCTCGACCGCGCCTACCCCCTCGCGATCGCTCTTCAATGAGTTCGACAGCTCTAATTCCCGTCCCAAATTCACAAAGGCGGGCGTGGCCTTCATCGAAGAGTGGTGAGCCGTGTTATACGCGAATCTAAACTCACACAAGTGCTCATCCCACTCTCATAGATCCTCTCCCAGGAACGCCACTATCATAGTTTTCAAAACTCTATTTACCCGCTCCACGGGGTTCGCTTGAGGGTGGTATGGCGGTATCGTTGTGTGTGTGATTCCGCGCTCTTTTGCGAACTCGCACATTACGCGATTCACGAATTCCGTCCCATTATCCGTCAGCAAATACTTCGGGGTCCCCCATCGCGTGATCACTAAATCCTCGATTGCGTCGCGAATCTTTTTGCCGTTCGCCTGGTGCAAAGCTCGGACTTTGATCCACTTCGAAAATAAGTCCTGCATTACTACTACGTATGCGAATCCGGCCCTACTTCTAGGAAACGGCCCCATCACGTCAGTCGCGACCACCGTCCAAGGTTTTTCCACGATGCGTCTCCCCATCAACCCCGCGGGAGCTTGCTGCTCTACCTTGGTCCGTTGACAGGGATCGCATCTCTTTACGTAATGCACCACGTCCCGAACATTTGCGGCCAGTAATACGCTATTGCTAAGCGGTGGTATGTCTTTTCCACCCCTAAATGACCTGCTTGGGGGTGGTCGTGAGATTCCCGGAGCGCCTCTGCCCGATCGTCAGTAGGTATTATAGACGGGTTCTAACCCATGGTCTCCGAGGGGGGGTGAGGGGCGGGGGGTACCGCGGGCGATGGGGGTATGACGTCACCCGGGGGGGGTATGACGTCACGGGGGTATGACGTCACCGCGGGGGTTATCAGCAGTCGGTAATGGGGGGGGCATACCGATGTTACCGGCGGTCGGTAATTTTTACCGATATTATATAACATTTAATTTTTTTTACCAACATATAATTACCGATAATACCAACGATCGGTAATTTATTACTGATATTATATGCCAACATTTAATTTTTTTTACCAACATATATATTCTTTACATAATTTTTACTGTCATCTTTACATAATATCGATGATCGGTAATTACCGATATAATTTTTTCTATCTACTTTCGATAGATCATTTTACCGATCTGCGGCGGTTTTCGCGGCGGTTTCCGCGGCGTATTTTGCGGCGGTTTTTTGCGACAAATTTTGCAGCGGTTTCCGCGGCGGATTTTTGCGGCGGTTTCCGCGGCAGATTTTGCGGCGGTTTCCGCGCCGCGCGCGCCGCCCCGCGCCGCCCCGCGCATTTCGCAGCGTGATTTTTTAGTCACAGCTGCAAACTCTAATATTCTGCAAACGTATGCATT